GAGCTGACGTTTCGGCAGTATCGCCTTCTTCAGAGCTGCTTTTTACGTGACTTCCAATGAGGAAGTTTAGAGGTCAACCACATGCGACTATAATCGGCTGTTCTAAACTTCCTCATTGGAAGTCACGAAAAAAGCGGCTCTGAAGAAAGCGATACTGCCGAAACGTCAGCTCGCGTTGTATTGTATTGTGTTTTTTATGGAAATAAATGTATGCTGTTTAAAAACCTCGCGATTGCTGAACGAGAAAACGACACATTCATATTCCAATGCCGAGGTTAAGAGAAAGTCGATCCTGGGAACTTTAATTTTATTAAACATCGTTTCTCCATGCGCTTCTCCACTAGACGGGGTAATACACCAAGTGCTTTCCATAGCGATTATGATCTTCTGCTAAACTTATCTCCCAACTATAGCGAAAGCTATTATTCACTATTATGAATGTTAAGCTATTATTGAAAACAATACTGTTCTTTTCCGTCATTTTATTTTGTTTTTTTTTGTTCCCTAAATTTGGCTCTTCCGCTCTAATAACCTTCTTTTTTTCTTCGCAGTCAAGTTTTCGCTGGGACACTTGATTTTTCATCCGTTTTTTTCTCTTATTTTTTCATACGATTTCATATGATACTGCTGAGATACAAAAATCGCTACCGTATTTCTAGGCAACTTTCACAAACATTTAAAAGTGGCTACAACTATGGTCTAACGGCGGCGTCGGCACTTCGACCTGAAAATGTTAAGCAGACTTTTAAGGACGTTAGCGCTAAAGTTCGGTATGTTTATGCCATAAGTAGGAGCATGTAATCCGGAAAACTATTAGAGAGGCGAATTTTCGTTCCTTAAGTGTTTGCCAATATATGCTAGCTTTCAGTCAAATGACTTGGATGCAACTGTTCTGTGCCATTGGACTACTGTTATTCCATTGTCTAAAGAAGCTTGGCTATATTGTGTACTTAATTCTGATGACGTTGTTCCGTTTTGTATACTATCTGACGACGCCGGAGAAGGATGAGGACGAAGCCAAAAATCGTCCCAAAGAGTGAGATTCATTGGTTTTCATGATTTTTTGGTATGATGTTCTGATATTTTGATTCTCACGCACTTTTTAATATACGTGGATATCTACCAGCTTTGCTTCGGAATTTTACCCTCATCGATTGAATTATATCCTCTTCTTGACGTGAGCAGATATAATTCACTGTTCAATCGAAACCTCTCTTTAACAAATTCTATCGGTTTTCGTTATCACTATCCCCACCACTTCATTGTTCTTCGTCGTTGTAAGAAAAATTTTAGTAATTTTTGTACCAGTCTGAGTTTTCTCTACGCTCGTTACTTTTTATCATTTTCATACTCTGTTTTCGTTCTACGATTTACGCAGAATTTCAGGACACACTTCCAACACTATGGTTTACCTATCCTTCCCGAATTTCACCACACACATATTGGAGTGGAGGCGTTTGGTTTAGCAGCTGAACAACTTCCCACTGAACACCATCTATGCCAGGATATTCCAACGATCAGCACTGAAGAAGTCAAATCAGAACAGCCGACTCCACAGAGACCACCGTCTAATGATTCTCCTTCACCACCCAGTGTGCACAAAGCACCGAGGTACTCTTGACTTAAATTCATATTTCTTCGTTTTCAAAAATAAGGTTTAGACTAGGTATGCAGCGCTTTGTTAGCCAGAGATGTGTGTTCGCATCAGTCAGTGACCATGTGCGGATCGCATGGTGATCCTTGTTACTGCGCTACGCACGCTCCTATAGAGAGCTTAATTGCATTAATCTGGAAAATCTTTTTATTTTTTAAAGTGTAGTGACTAAAAGAAGGCTGAATTTCTAACGTGTATGCATAGGTTTTAACGAATAACGCCTGAGTCGTCTATCAGTCCCAAAAAGTGTTTAACGGCGTTGTTATAAATTATCGAGAAAAAGACATCTGGAAAATAATGTTCTTGTTTTATGACATCTAAGTGGTAATTCTACTTACAAGGTGATAAAAACACCCACTATTAACAAGTAAATAATCGATAATTCAGCATTTATGAATCGGTCGGAGCTCCACCACCAATGAACGCCTCGCCATCTGAAGTGGACGCCAACGTTGGATCATATGAGCCGAAAATCGCCGAGCAAAATATTAGTCGCAGCAAGGGATCAATACTCGTACGCTAACCATATCTTTTAGGAGGAAACCGATAATGCTAAGTCGGTTAGGAAGTTTATCTTCAGAATATGCTTGCCCGAAATTTTAAGACGATCGAAAAGACTACTCTCTACCTGGCGTTTTTCATCAATGTTATCCTACTCTTCCATAGAGTCGACATCAAGCATACTGAGCCCGGTAAGTAGAATTGTGACGTTGCCAAAATGTTTTGCACTTGGGAGAATTTTTGGAAAAAAGGATTTTCACCAAAAAGGCGAAATAAAGGCCCTTTTTGGACTAGGTTTTCTGAATGATCTACTGATTCCTTGGATAAAATGCAAAACGTACCGCGTTCCATTCACCGACATAAAAGTCAGCGCAAACCCAAGCAAAATCCAATGATTTTCGTGGATATCTGATGAAAGACGTCGAACAGAATGAAGAAACTATGGGGAGCCGTGTAATATGTAAACATAGGTCATATAAGTGGATAATTAGTTAGATAATGATTCAAATATTTTCAGAAGTGGGTAACTAGTGTGCTTTTTGGTTAGGTGAACTAGTTGCATAGATAACAGATGACGACTTCTTTTTGTGTGTTGTTCAGAACCAGCAGAAGATGCCCGTGAAAACGATGAAGAGAAAACCGCTGAATCGATTTACATTAGTGGAATGATGCTACCTTATATTGAATACGAATTGACTGGCTGGGTTTTAGCACAGGTATACACAATTAATGAAACAAAAATTTTGCAAGTCTTAGGTTTATTTTTGTTCCCTACCTATTGCCTTATTTTCTGCAGATGGATTTATAGATGGAAGACAAGGCCTTGTATCATATTTTTCACTTTTTAGTATAAATGATTAAGGAAATCGAAGTTATAGTTCCTTCTTCGATTTCCTTTCAAATTACATGTTAAATAGGAAATGGAAGCTTACTTCCCCTCTATTGATCAGCTTACAAAGATGATAGAGAAGTATGATGCGATACAAGATCGGAGTTGAATTATTGCATAGATATAATTATGTAGTACTGTACAGATGCTAGTGATACTGTATAGATACCTATGCAGTACTGTGCAGATACCACTGATACTGCATAGATACTTACACTGTACCGTAGGGATTCTACTGTTGCTATATATATACATATATTTATATATATATAATATATAGTGTATATCCACGAATCTCACTCATATGAGGGATCTCGACCCGGTTAATCGCGAGGCTACGTGGCGCGTCCCCAGATGGCCAAAATGGGGTTAATCGCAGACCAAAAGTGACCTTTGCTTCCCTGAGACGCAGGTGGATCCAGGAGATGGACTCCTTGTTTCTGCTACGCTGATTTGGCACATACTTTCTGTATTTGCTAGGCATATTCATGCATGCGTGTGTGGTGCGTTCTTGCTTATGCGGATTGTATTCTACGAGTCAATTCGGCCAAAAGCCTGCAATCAAGTGACTGGGAAGTATATGAGTGGTGGTTAGGAGTTGCCTCCAATAACTAAGCTCCACATTTACTTTGGGAGAGCCTGGCTAACTACCGGTGAGTATAACCAGCCCCTACGTTCAGAGCCCAGCAAGCCATACGTGAGTATCAAAAATGCTAAACACAGTAAAAAAACAAATGGGCCCCATTCCCCTGACCCCGAAAGAGCTCTCAATTTCGCAGCGTTGGGTAGGACGAGTACGGAGAGGCTGCTAAAATTACAGGGCCAATGGAAGCTACCTGGATTTCAAAGAGCTATGGTGACGATCTCTACCTACAATGCACGTACACTTGCATCCGAGTCCTCGATAGAAGACTTGGTCATGCAAGCAAGAAGGATAATGTCCGACGTCAGCGTTTTGACCGAGACAAGAAGACACCACCCTTTCAACGTCGTCTGTGACACCGGAGAAGAACTGTTCCTCGGAACATGCGGCAGTAGAGGAGTCGGCAACACGAGTTTGTCCATGAACATCGATTCATTCGAACAACTTGCAACCCGAATCGGACGTTTACGATTGAAAGGACGTGGATCAATTCCGGCTTTGACAATCTTCGTCGTTTACGCGCCGACATTAAACTATGACGAAGAAGAAGTCGAAGCGTTCTATATTGACATGGAGAGGCTCTACAAAGAAGACTACACATTCTTCAAGGTCATCATTGCAGATTTCAACGCCAAGACTGGATCAAGAAGAACATCTGAAGAACGTCACATTGGGACCCACGGATTAGAATGGAACGAGCAGGGTGAACGGCTGTCTGAGTTTATCACGGCGATCAAGACGATCCATGGTGACTCGCAATTTTAGAATCCTCATCCTCAGCGCTGGACGTGGGAATCTCTCAATGGAGAGTACCATAACGAAATAGACCACATCATAGTAAATAGGTTTTACCTAACCGATGTCACTGTTGTCTCAAAATTCTACACGGGACCAGACCATCGTCGCCTTCGTGCAAGATTCTATTTCTCGCGGAAAGGAGAAAAAGCCGCTAAATTCCAAAACTGAAGTCGCAGAACCACCGCAAACTGGGACTTATTCAATTCACTAGTCGACTGTTGGGAGGATGTCGTTGTTGATAACATCGACGAAGAATGCGATCGGCTCCTTCAACATCTTCACTTTAGCGCTATGAAAGCTGAGAGTTCGAATTTCACCAAGAGACGTTTGCCTCCAAAAACACTCGAGCTGATACACCAGCGTGGAATCGCACGAGCTACAGGCAACAGCGAACTAACGTCCGAACATGCAAAACAATGCAGGCAGGAGATAAACTAAGTTCTTAAAGAGAGAAGAGCAGCTGTAGTCGAAGCTGCAGAGGCTGGAAGAACATTTGCAAAGTCTACTGAAGCTTCGCCAGCTACAAAACCAAGATAATTGCACTCTGACACCCAGAAGGAGCGTCCGGAAAGGCAATGGAGAAAATCATTCACGAATACTCGGATCTCTTCGATAGCCACGTCCACCTTCAGTCATATGAAATCAAGGAGGATGGATATGTTATACCGCCGGTTTTCCCTTCCGAAATCCGATATGCCATTTCGTCGGTAGAAAATCAAACAGTACCAGGTTCGGACGAGACAAGACCGGAACACCTGAAGAACCTTCCACTAGTCCTCGTAAACACACTGGCTCGGCTCTTCACACGTTACCTGTCTGAATGCAAGGTCCCTTCTCAGTGGAAGACCAGCAAGACCGTGTTTTGTTTAAGAAGTGTAACCTACACGATATGAGCAACTATCGCCCAATCTGTGCTGTCTGCCGTCTACAAATTTTTCACTCGAGTCATCCTAAACGGGATTGACAGAACGCTGGACGATGGACAACCATGTGAGCAAGCAAGGTTTCGAAGAGAATTTAGTACAATGGACTACATCCACACGAAAACAAGACTCATTCAAGTATCGCGAGAGTACAAAAGACCGCTCTGTCTCACTTCCATCGATTTACAGAAGGCCCTTGATTCAATGGAGATAGAAGCAGTCTTGGAAGCCCTTAATAGTCAAGGAGTCCCTACTCAGTACTTAAAGATATCACCATTTTTCAACANCTCGGCTCTTCACACGTTACCTGTCTGAATGCAAGGTCCCTACTCAGTGGAAGACCAGCAAGACCGTGTTTTGTTTAAGAAGTGTAACCTACACGATATGAGCAACTATCGTCCAATCTGTGCTGTCTGCCGTCTACAAATTTTTCACTCGAGTCATCCTAAACGGGATTGACAGAACACTGGANTGGAGATAGAAGCAGTCTTGGAAGCCCTTAATAGTCAAGGAGTCCCTACTCAGTACTTAAAGATATCACCATTTTTCAACGATATTAACATTTACGTCAAAAACGAGTTAGGCAAGACAATACCATCTCGCCAAAATTATTTACCGCCACCCTCCATAACGTCGTGCGAACATTGGAATGCGATAATATGGGAGTGAAAATCGATGGTCGGCATTTACACCATCTTCGCTTCGCTGGTGACAACGTTTTTATAACACCAAACATTAGCAAGACGGAACGTATGCTTGACGACTTTGATAAAGCCTGTGGAAAGATTGGTCTTCCACTAAATCTCACAAAACAATGTTCATGAAGAACGGATTGGTTTTGCATGTACCATTCACGCTCAACGGAACGAATATCTCCGAATGCTCCAGTTGCATCTATTTAGGTCTAGAAACCAATATGATGAACGACCTAGCTCCAAAGCTGAGCAGAAGGAAACGAGCGGTTTTGCGAGCTTTGAAAAGCATCGAGGATGTAGTGAAGAGAACAAAGAACACCCGAGTCCGTGCCAACCTTTTCGACTCAAGGGTACTTCCTGCCCTGACGTATGCGTCAGAAAGCTGGTCGCTGCGTAAGCAGGATGAAAGGTCAATCAGCGTTATCGAACGCGCAGTCGAAAGGACGATGATGGGAAGATCCAGTTCCACCAAGTAAGGGATCGGAAGCTCCGGTCTGCGTCAACGATCAAAAATCAAAGATGCCGTTCTGTACGCTAAACAGTCGAAGAACCGGACACGTATTGCGTATGAATGACAACCGATGGACAGGAGCCGTTAGTGACTGGATTCCTCGAGATGTTAAACTCACTGCAGGAAGACTACCGACCCGATGGTCAGAGTTTTTCACAAGGAGCCTTGAAGAAAGATGTGATGCTCGACGAGTCCCTAGAGCGAGCAGTACGCACTGGGCGACTCTTGCACGCGATAGAGAAAAATGGAAGATTTACTTGTGTCCGCTCGAGTCACTCGACGATCAGCGGACTACAGATGAGAGGTGATATATATATATATATTTCAGTGTTGTTTTTTAATATATGAAATAGGATTAAATGGAAATAAAGTAGATCGTTAACAATGAGATATAAAAAATGCGCCTTTTTCAAGTCTTACATGAAAAAAAACTATTGGAGCTTTACTATGTTCTAAAAGTTCAGCTCTGACGATGATTGATCTGATTTTTGTAAAAAAATACCTTGGACTGTAAAATTTTCGAACTCTGGTTCACCTCAAGATCCTTGAAATAATAGAGGAGCTGTTGAGACATTTGAGACATGTACTACACTTCTTTCTGTACAGGTGCTGTACTGGATTAGTGGCGGCGTTGGCGTTCTCAACATCAACAACAGCGCAGCGCCAACAATAGCATCTCCACCACCACCACCACCAGAAACAACAACAACAACAAAATAGGAACGAGGTCAAGAAGAAGAACAAAAACCCATCTAGCGCTGAAGCGTGTTGAATAGTTCATCCAAGGGGATACTCTAGCGTTTTTTTTTCACTCTAACATGTCCTTAGCCTACGAAGAATTTTTTTGGCGGAGTGCCGTGGTTCATCTGAGTGGTTGATTCTGAATAAATGTGTAAGCAATGATAAACAGAGAAGACATAATATAAATATAAAAAGAAAATAATATAGAATAGTAATAAAATGATAAGATGAATAATAAAATAAGTGGACGAATTAAAATAATAAAATGATAATAAGAATGCCTGAAGAGAATCTGCCATCAAAACTGTCCTCCTGTTCGCATTTCGTTTTTATTTGCACTGCAACTTTATGCCCAACTTTGATAAATATTTCTCCTCGTGCTATCGGCAGCTGAATGTGACCTGAATGCTTTTGAATATTGCTCTCTAGCCGATCTTTTTTCTTCAACATGTTCAATGCTTCGACCAGTTGAGGTCCAATAACTTCGGAGGAAACTATAAGTTTCTTAATACACCGCAAGGTAAATCTCAAACGCACTAAGAAAGACACATGAAGCCAGTTTTAAAAATGGGCACACAATCTCTACGGGTACACCACAAAAAATTAGCCAATTTCTTAATAACATTGTACGCCGTCGAACTCACTAACCTAAACACACTGCTACGTGTGATAAAAAATATTGAAGGAATACCTTCTCTGAAATCTACTAAAGGTCACAATGTACACCAAACGGAGGTTCATGCCATTTTCTGGATTTCTCAGCAGCACCTCACCGGAAACACACAGAACCTTCAGAGTTCTCAAACCTGAAATACTTATATGCACTAGATTCTGCAACGAATCTATGGAGGCCAACATTTTATCTTTCTTATATGTCCAAATTGCAGAAAAAGCATGTCAGCCTAATCATTTAGTGGTCTACAGCTGATTTAATCCACTATAGTTTCCTCAATCTGGGGGAAGCGATTACGAAGAAGAAACACGTCCGCAAGCCTACAAACTGGTACGAAATCTCAACAGCAACGACCCGCACAGTTCAATAGAAAGGGACCAATCCATCCCACGGTTACGTCGGGCCAAACGGCGCACTACCGACGCCGCAGAAGTTGAACGCGCTAGCCTATGAAACTCTGCCACATCCACCATATTTGCCAGACCTATATATACTTGCTTACATGTATATCTTACACGTATACATATATATATACTTATGTAGATATATATATATACGTATGTACTTGCGTATATAATACGTATGTATATGCATGTATGAATGCACATATACAAACGTACATATTCATATATACATATAAACGTAACAAACATATGAAATAATATAATTTAACAAGATACATATAATACAGTATGAAACAACATAACATAGTATATATACAACACAACACAAGGTTTATATATACAACTGCACATATATATATATATTTATATAAAGTATAAAATTAATTAAGAAACAGTTCGAAAATAAATAAATAGTAGACGTAGAAAAAATTAAACAAACAACAATTATACATAACTTGCAAATAAATAAAAATAAATAAAAATAAATTGATAATAACTTTAATGATGCTGAGATATTTGCAAAACTCCAGACCGTAGGTGTCTGCGGTGGGGAACGCGCTATTGTCCTTACCGGGGAGTAACGCGTTCACCACAACACCAAGATTGTGATTATAACTACAGCCTCAGCTTAAATGGGTTCATTGCCGATTTGGGTTTTCCAGATCAATCCCGCTGAAGAGTGATTGCTGATGGCAAAAGATCAATAGAACTAGCTGAGAGATAGGTGAAACGAAGGACCTGCATGGTGTGGCGGTGAATGGCGTGTTCATTCCCCACCGCGGACACCTGCGGTCCCGAATTTTGCAAATATCTCAGCATCATTGAAAGCAAGTGATAATAATAAAAGAATAATAATAGGATAATAATAAAGAAAACTGGAAATAAATTAAAAAGAGAAACTGAATAATAATGAATAATAATAATAACGAACAAAAATGAACTAAAAGTAAAAAACAAAGAAAAAAATTAAAAACAAATAAAGACAAAGTAAATTAGAGAAAGCGTAAAAATAAATTACAAAATATTAAAAATAAATTTAAAGCAATAAATAGGAAAAAATAAAGGACAATTCAAAATCGAATTAAAATAAAAAATAGACAAAAAATAAAAATAAAAATATAACATAATATAAAGATAGTAAAAACATTAAGGCAAAAATGCAAAAGAAATAAAAATTAAAACATAAAGGAAGCGAAAAAAGCCCAAGCCCAAGTCTAAACCCCCCTAAAGCCAATCCTGAGCCGAAGCGTCGGCCAAAGCCTAAGCCTAAGCCTGAACCTAAGTTTCGGCCTATGCCTAAGCATGAGTCTGAGGTCGAGCTTGAAGAAGAAAGGAAGAAGAAGTAGAAAGGAAGAAAAAGAAGAAAGGAAGAAGAAGAAGAAGAAGAAGAAGAAAAGGAAGAAGAAGA